GATTCTGGTGCACTTGCCCTCCATTCAGTAAACATTGAAAAGCTGAGCCCTTTTGCATGCTGGCCAGCTTGTGGTCTGGATCCAAGGTGAGCAAGCCACTCCCTGCTCTTTCAGAGGCTCCAGACCCAGAGACAGCAGACTTGAACAGCATCCGAAGCAGCCGGCTTGCTGAGGGACGGGCTCTGGGCCTGGTGAGGGACATCTGACCCAGAATCCGGGAGGGGGGGCCAGTAACTGTGGAACTCTTCCCGGAGAAGCGGATGTCCACCTTGAACCCCAACAGGTCTTAGAACTCAGCTAGGAGAGAGGAAGGGCATCTCAGACGAAGGAAACAGCATGGGCGGCCTGGCTCATTTGGGAAACTTCACTGTCTGGAGCCCAGAGAGGTGGGGGAGTAGGGGGAGGGGGCAGATGAGGCTGAAGAGGGAGACAGCACCAGGAGAGCAGTGGGAGCCCCAGAGGAGTTTAAAGCAGGAGGTAAAGGGGGTCAGATTTGAGTATGGGCTCCAGCCTGCTGGTTGCAGTGATGGCCAGGTGGAGACCAGCTCAGGGGCTCATTCATTCATTCAACAAGGGCTCAACCAGGCATCAGGCCCTGTGCTGCTGCGGGGGTCCAGGTGAGGGGCTATAGCGGCCTGGATGGTGGCCAGGATGGAGAGAAGGGGCAGAGATTCTGGGGAGGCGCTCTCACTGTGTTACACAAACACATCCTGGCAACTCCCAAACTGGCATCTGGTTCCTGGACCAGCTGTGTATGAATTTGGAAACAGGGGACCTGTTATTTCAGGGGTGGACAGCTGATTGGCAGGGCTGAGCCCAAGCCTCAGGGGCCCCCAGAGAGGCAGCCATTCCTGGAGACCCACCCAGAGCAGCACAGCCCAGCCTGCCTCCTTTCTCCCCCTGCCTTTGCCCCAGGCTCCAGAAAGCTTCCCCGCAATGGTGGCTGAGGATAACCTTTCCAGCAAGGGGGTGAAACACCCCGGTTTCTTTTCCTAAGTGACTCCTGCAGGAGCGCACAGGAGCCAGAGGCCCAGCTGGGCCCCAGAGTTTGCGCCTATTTCCTATTTCTGTGCTCCTGTCCCACTCAGATTGCAGGCTCTTTGGGCGTAGGAACTGTCTCCTCCATTTGACCGTGGGTTTTCTGAGGGTGTCTCCCCCAACAGATCAGGAGCTTTCCGGAGGGTAGAAGGAAGAATGGAAATGCAAGTCAGGGAAGCTGTTTTGCTGCCATTTAATAGTTGTTTTAATTTGTGAAAAATCCTGTATTTGCCTCAGTCTTCTCATTTGTAAAACGGGGTTAATGATAACACTACCTGTTGTGAGGATTAAAAGACATAAGATAGAAGAGACATTAAAAGAGCCTTGGGGGTATGGACAGGACAGAAATACCAAACACAGACCATGAAAAACAGCCGGAAATGAGAGCAAAGGGAACCAAACTGTAGGCTCCATGAATAGGATTTCTGTTCATGTTACACGCTGTAGTTTTCCAGGTGGCTGGGACAGAGTCTGTTCCATGGTAGGTGCTCGGTGAACATTAGTTGAAGGAATGAATGGAGAGTACAGGTGGCAATGGTGGAGAGCAGGGTGCCAACTCACCACCAGGGCGGGAAGGCTTCCAGGAGGGGGCAGGGGAGGGCCCAGGCCTGGAGGGCTGCTGGGAGTAGGCGTGTCTGCCTCAGAACTCATGAAACTCTGGGGGTTCAACAATACACCCCCGTAGTTCTGACCAGGTTATGAATCTGGTGTCAACAGTGGGATTTCCCTGCCAGGGTCCTCTCCCCCGACTTCTACATCACTTCCTCCACCTGCCATCTCCCAACAGCTCATGGGCACAGTGACAGTGACAGGAGGGTTCACGTCCCTCCACACACGGTACCCCTCCTCTGCTCTTGATCCCTCAGGAATCCCTCCTGGGCTCCACCCTCTGCTCCAGCTGCTATCCCACCCTGTTTCCAGACCTTTCACTCAGAAAGCTCACCACTTACCTTAGCCACAGTGGACCAAAACCACACCTTAACCCCAGCCTTCCCTGCTTCTATCATCTATGAGCAACTCTGCGAAGCTGTGCCTGGTCAAGTTGTACTCTCTGAGCTTTCATCTCCTTCACAGCAAAGGGGGCCAAAAGCCCTGTGCCACGGTGGGTGCTCCGAGCCGCCTGTCAGAGGGCTTTGTGAGAAGGCCAAGTGCCATGGTAGTAAATAGAATTGTTACCTTGAGGCTGGAAGGGGCTAAAGCAGAACCAGATAAGTTTGAACCTGTGTGTGTGTGTGTGTGTGTGTGTGTGTGTGTGTGTGTGTGTGTGTGTGTGTGTGTGTGTGTGTGTGTGGGGAGAGAGAGAGAGAGAGAGAGAGAGAGAGAGATTAGGAGGAATGAAAACCTGACAAGTCAGAAAAATTTGGGAAACAGAAATACAGGAAGTTGAATTATTACAGGGAGGGAAGGGAAGAATTTATGTCAGAGATTAATATATATATAAAGGCTAAGTTATAAGGAAACTGAAACTGTGTGTGTGTGTGTGTGTGTGTGTGTGTGGAGAGAGAGAGAAAGAGAGAGAGAGGAAAGTGGAGAGATGTTTTGGCAAAGGGATGGATGGTATCAAGTCATTACAGAACCCGTTGATATTTTAAACACATACGATCCTTTATAAACGCAGCCACACCCTCATGAAAAATGTGCTTCATTCCTGAAATCACAGAACTGTACATTTTTCCCAGCAGACTGAAGATTTTAACCAATGTCCTGTGTGTTGTGGGAAGGGGACCCTGACACTGCTGTGGAAGAGGCCAATCTCTAAACCGTTGAGACCACAAAGTCTGACAAATCTTCCTGTTAAATGGATGCATATGGGCCCAGCTGAGCCTGTCCACTCTTCTTTCACGTCCTTTCCAGCCCACAATGCCCACCCCTCGAGCTCAGAAGGCCTGAGGGCCCTTCCCTGGCCCACCTTCCTGAACACAGAGGCCCTTTCAGGGGATGCCAGACGTGCCACAACAGAGCAGGTGATTGTTAGCTGGTCATGGGGGCTGCGTGGGTTTGAACTCAGGCTCACCATCTATGGACATCTTGCCTAGGTCACCTTTCTGTGCCCGTTTCCTCGCCTATAAAATGGGGATGTAATACCCACCTCACAGGGCTATTGCAAGATCAAATGAGTCCATTCACATATTATTGAGCATAAAGCGTGTAGAACGGGGTCTGGCCGACTGGCGACATGAGCTGCTAGCCACGGTCCCCCCACTCCTCTCCCCTGTCCTCATTCCGACCTGTTAACTGTCACCTCCTCCAAGAAGCCCGCCCTGACCACATCTTACATAGCCTGCCCCTTCTCCACCTCCCCACCTCTTTCATTTTCTTGTCCCTTCCAGACCACCCCAGTTCTCCCCTTGACTCTCAGGCTGTCCTCAGTCCTCCCAGACTGCCCCCCGATCTTGCCCCCAGCCCCTCTCCCCAGACCCCGCAATAGCACGCATCAGACTAGCTTGTCCATCTCATGTTTTATTGTAAAAATGTTAAAATAAATTACATTTGACATCATTGCCAGTATGTACATACAGTGTGTGTGATTCCAGGACAGCCAGCAACACCCCAGCCAAGTGGGGTCAGGAAAACTAAGACGAGCTCGTTAAAACATTTCACAGAAAAACAGAAGGCCGCTCCTTCCCACCCTGATGCTGGGCCATCATACCCCTGGGTTATAGGCTAAGTGGGGATGGGTGGGGTTCTGGCCCTCTTTGGTCCTGCAGTATTGGGGAGGGGGTTGAGAGGCAGAGAGGGTGTCTGGGTGGCACCTCCTGCCCAGCATCCAGTCGCCTGCGACCAATGCCCCTCCCCAACTCTGACACCATGACCTTGGCTGAGGTCACCGAGAAAGGCCCAACTGGGTTGGGGGATAGGCGGGTGAACATTGGACATCCCGATCCTTGGGACCCCACTCTTGCACCTTTTCTCTCCTCTGGCTCTGAAGCCAACGAGATAAAAAAAAAACAAAAAAACAATTCATTTAAAAAATAACAAAACAAAACATGCAGGGCAGAGTGGGCTGGCCCAAGGGTGCACCTCACGAAGAACCCAAGAACTCTGCCAGCCCCTCACCAGAAACAGTCCGTCTGCAGTTTCACATTATCTTTTGCTCCTCCCACTGCGAATCCTTTCTTTCTTACACAGACAGACGGACATAGACAGACACACACACACACACACACACACACACACACACACACACACACACACCAAACAGCAGCTGGAGGGAGGAGGTTGATTCACATATTTGGACATTTCCCACTTGTGAGCCAAGAGTGATCTGGGGAGCGGTGAGGTCACGGGACGGAAGGGTGGAGGCAGGTTCAGCCGGAGCTGAGCCCACTCCTGCAGCTCCCCGGCTGCCAGCTCCAGGAGCCCCAGCCTCTCTTTCTGCCACCACTTTCTGGGAGGCAGGAGCCCACGCCTGCCATTGCTTGGCCAAAGGATGTCTGGGACAGGGAACCGGACTCTGGGCTGTGCTCCATCCCAGTAAGTCCACACAAGGGCTGAGATGCTGGGCCACACTTGGGACTTACTCTGGGTCCCCCGTAACGGGAGTGTTTCAGCACCTGCCCGTTAGCTCCCCTTCCCCAGATGGCCTCCTCCCTACTGAGGTCTGCAGTACGGGTGACAGCCAGGCAGACGAGGTGGGACTGGGGGACGGTTAAACACGTGCCCCAGGCGGGGCCCCACTATTGCTGAGGTGCTGAAGTGTCCAGCCCCCAACCCCACCAGGGCCTTACAGCACCCTCACCCTCTCTCTGAAATGCCTGGCTCCGTGCTGGGCGCACAGGAACCTGTTAATACTGGTGAACTCAAACGGCCGAGGCCCCCCCGACCTAAGAGAACCGCGAGACAGTCTTAACCGAATGACTGGGCAACGACCCACGCAGGTACAGGCCTCCCCGGGATCAGTCCTGCCAGCCCACGTGTCCGTGAACCACCAGATCCCCCAACCATGCTCAGGACAGACGCCTCCCGCTGCCAGGGTGCCCGTTCCGCTGATGAACAGAGGCCCTGTCCTGGGTGCACCATGTCTGACCGGTAGCATCTAGCTGCAGGGGATGAAGGTGAGGAAGGCCCCTGGCCCCCTACTCCCAGTTCCAGGGCCACACCCCACCAGGGGCCAGGGTCCCAGCCACAGTAGGACACCCCAGATTGAGGAGAAGAGAAGCCATGGAAGGTGGGGTGGGGAGCCGGCCCCACCTCACGTGCCTTTGGGGCAGTTTGCCTTGTTATACTCGTTCATAAGCTGCTCGTAAGGCACGGAGAGCTCTGACTCAGTGCTGGTGAAGGTGGACTCATCCGACGAGGGGAACTCGCCCAGGTTCAGGGGCACCTCGGCCGTGGCCCCCTCCTGGGGCCCCTCCTCCCCAGCCAGGTTGCCCTCCAGTGAGGACCTGGAGGTGTCCTCGTCCGAGAGGCCGGCCTCCTCGTTCACAAAGGTGATGCTGACGTTCTGGAAGATGAGCGGGTGGTAGTCCTGGGCGTCCCACGGCTCACCCTCCTCGCTAATGCGGTCCAGCTGGTTAGCGAGCACCTCAGAGGTCGGGGAGCCCTCCTCGGGGGGCCCCGCCCCGGCCTCCTCGCCGGGCGGCCGAGACACATGGCCTTTGCTCCTCAGCGTCTGGGACACCTCTTCCAAGCTGGGCACCCGGTTCTCGGAGTAGACCACCGAGGGGGTCAGGGAGGTGGGCAGGGCTGTCAGCCCAGGCCCCTGGGGCCCCAGGCCCGGCCCTGCGGCCCGCTCCCCACGCCCGCCCGTCTTCACCGCCTTCTTCCCGATCTGCTTGATGAGGTCGTTGTAAGTCTCCTCCTTTTTCGACAGAAAACTGAAGATGTTGACGTCCTGGGACGCCGCAGCCCCTGCCACCTGCAGGGCCTTCCTGGAGTGTGGGGAGCTCTCGAAGGACTCCTTCCGGCGCCGCCGCCGCTTCTTAATGGCCTTGTGCACCTCCACAAACATGCTCACCTTCCAGTTGACAAAGAGGGAGAGCCAGGCCAGCCCCAGGTAGATCCAGAGCTCCACAAAGTAGCGGTACAGGGCGTGGTAGTTGGCGCTGGGGTTCACACCTGAGGACGGGCCAGGAAGCCAGAGGGTCAGGGAAGGGCCAGCGGGGACCCGGAAACACACAGAGGCCAGAAGCCGTGTCACCTGCAAGTGGACACAGCGCGAGAACACAGAACACCGATGCGGAGGCACCAAGAAAGAAAGGAGGCCTGTGCTAGGAGCCGGACACCCCATCGTCCTGAGAACCCTGGCCTGGTCACTCATGTGCCTGTTGCAGACCCCAGCCTGACCTTCCTCAACTATCAAAGGTCAGGAGAGTGTCTCCCTGGGGTGGGGGAGGGGCTCTGGGGAGGCTGGTGATGGAGCCAGCGCTCAGGTCAGGAGCTAAGCCATGAATGTTGGCCTTTCAATGATCCACCGACACTGACACTTGGCTGCTTTGTGTACTTTTCGGGTGTACGTGTTACAGTTCAGTTAAAACCTGGATAGAAATTAAGTGACAGGGCAGCTGGCATCCTCCTGCTGGGGATGGACTCACTCATTTAATATAAGTGAGGCTGACAGTTGGGCCTGGGATGTCCAAGAGCACTGGCCCTGGCAGGAGATACCCTGGACAGCCTTGATTCTCCTTCTGGTGACGTCTGGCCTGCCTCCTGACTTCCTGTATCTACCCTCCTCCTACTGCTTCCTCCTATGGCCTGGAGGGCTCTGCCCTCTCCACACCCCCACTTCCGTGGCCAGGCTCCAGACACCTGCTCCAGGGAGCCCTCCCAGGTCACCCTACACAGCTCTGGTCACTCCCCTACCCTCTAGGATCACGGAGATTTCACTTTACACTTCCAGGCATGTTGATCCATATTATTACGTATCCTGTGTCCCCCCAGCACCCCCCCCCCAGCAGTATCCTGCTGCCCTGAGACTGGGAGAAACTTGGAAAAGGAACTGGAGGAAGGGGGCCACTTCTGGAGTGGGGCTCCCTTAGAGCAAGGGCTATAACCCCCTCATCAGACTGGAGGGAGTCTGAAGGCAGGGGCTGTCTCCCTTGCAGCCGGGAGGTGCTGTCTGTCTAGCTCAGGACTCCGGTCATAAGCAGGTTATGATGACAACCGGGGCACACTAATAGAGGCGGGCCCTACCCACTGCACTCATGAATAGCAACTCATTTGATTGTCCAAAACCCTGTGAGGTATGCACCGTTACTTTTTTTTTTTTTTTAAACCAATTTTACAGATGGGGAAACTGAGGCAGTGGTTTGGTGTCTTGCTGGAGCTGAGAAAGTATGATTAAACACCTTTCTGTGCTTCCCTGATACGAAGGCTCCTCCTTAGCCTGCTCTGGGCCCCAACAGCTAGACAATGGCAGTGTTGTGCCTCCGTCTAAATTTATCTCTCAAGACAGCAGGCTCAGATCTGCCAGGGTCAGTGGAGTGTTCGGGCCTCTTTCCTGCTTCTCCCACCCACTCAGCCGCCCCCTCCCAGCATTCCGAGTCTCCCCTTACAATGGGGCAGGAGGGTAGTGACCTGTCCCTGGCCCTAGGAAAGGGGAGGGGAGAGATCGGAGGTCCTGGAGCAGAGGTGAAGGTCAGCTGGGCAGGGCAGCAGGCACTGAGGGAGCAGCCACTGGGCCAGTGCAGCCAAACGGGGTGTCAGGAAGATTGAGATCCAAGATGCTGTGCAGGCCACAGGCACAAGGACATGAGTGGCTGGAGCCGACAGACAAAGGGGCCAAAGAATCTTATCGCCCGCGTGGATTAAGTAAGGGAGGAGTGGGAGGGAGGGAAGGTCCGGCCCCGAGGGAGCAGGACAGCTTGGGGGAAGGCCTCTCTGGTCTTTAAGCTGCCAGTGGCAAGAGCAAAGTTTCTGGTCTCTGAGCCAAGCATCCAGCACAGCCCCCTCAGCGCCTGGGAGTGATGGGAGGAGGCAGCTGTGACGTGGACCCTGCAGGCAGGAGGCTCTACCTCCAGCCCCCAGTGCACCTAAGCGCCTAAGCTCGGGAGACGGGGGAGAAGAGAGGAAGAGACCAGACGCCAAACACGAACAGAGGAGGAGGGAAAAGCCACGTTCCAAGAGAGAGAAATAGAAAACGTCTGCAATCACTCTGTGCCTTGGTTTCCTCTTGCAACTGGCAGGATCCCACTGGGTGGAGGCCCAGGACACTGGCCGCCTACCAGGGCCCCCAGTAAAGGTCAGCTGAACTGAAATTGGAGAAGCAGAGAAGGACAGGGTGGGAGGCAGAGGCGAGGGGCAGGACTCACCGGCCACGAAGTCGCCGAAACCGATGGTGGAGATGGTGATGAAGGAGTAGTAGAGGCCCTCGATGTAGTTCCACTCCTCGGTCACCATGAACACAAAGGGTGGGATCACCAGGTGGACCAGCACGCCCCACAGGATGAAGATGGCCGTGCACGTGATCTGCGCCTTGCGCTGAGGGGGAAGGGTAGGGAGACCAAGTCAGACGGCGGGGAAGACCAGGGGGAGCCCAGCAGAGCACCCAGAGGGCCGAGGAGGCAGCCAGAGGTGAGGCCGGTTGGGCGCCAGGCCTGGGAGGCTCACTGCCCAGGGGAGGGGGGTGGTGGTGATGCTTCCAGCCTCACCCAGGAGGGCAGCGGGCTCTGAAACTGCCCCCTTGCCACCCGTCCTGACACGTCTGTCCAATTCTTAGATCCTTCCCACCCCATCACCTGCCAGGGTCCCCCCGTCTCTGCCCAGGACCTAGGGGTGGGGACATACCAGGCTCACGCCTCTCTTGGTGAGGAACTGGCCCAGCCTCTTGGCACGTCCCCCGAAGAACTTGCCCAGGGCACTGATCCACGTCAGACAGAGCGGCACCCCAAAGAGACCATAGAAGACACAGAAGAGGCGCCCGGCGGGGGTCTTGGGGGCCACGTTGCCATAGCCTGAGGAAAAAGAAGAGAGTGAGGCCAACAGAGCCACGGCGGGGGTGATGGATCCAGACTCGGAGTGGCACCTGCCTCCGCCGCCCCCGCCACACACCCGGCCCGAGGAGAGCCCATTCCCTAAGATCACTTGACACTGATTAATATCAATGCTTCAGAAATGAAATTTCCCTTGACCGTGCTATGATCAGGATCATTTATAGCAATTATGACGGTATGGGCTATGCCTCCTCCGTCAGACTGGGAGCTCTCTGAAGGCGGACTAAGCCTCCACCATTAGCAAGTCCTCCACAAGTCCGCACGGCACCCTGGCGCAAGTTACAAGGCACAAGTTAGTAGTTTCTCTGGGTAGACACCCCAGAAGCACTGTGGTAGACGGTCTCCAAAGACAGCGATTCTTAATTCCGTCCCTTCTTATGCTCACATCAAGCTGGCCTCTAATTCCCCTCCTTCTGAATCTGGGCTTTAGTGACCTGTTCATGGAATGTGGCAGAAGGGACCCTGAGTCAGTTAAGTCCTTATCAGAAGCCTTGTTGCTTCTCCCCTTGATCTCCTGAAATGCTCACTTTGGGGAGTCTCCCTCTTGAAACCCAGCTGCCATACTGTGAGATGCCCAATCATCCCCAGCTAAGCTCCCCAGCAATAGCCAGCATCAACTACCAAACATGCGATAGAAGAAGCCATCTTGGACTTCCAGCCAACTGGGCTTTTTTGGATGACCACGGCCCCAGCCACTCCAACTACCACGGCATCAGAGACCTCATGCAAGAACAAACCAGCCAAACCCCGTCAACTCACAGAATGGCCGACAATAATAATAAATTGTGTTCTAAGCCACTAACTTCTGAGGTAGTTGGTGATGCAGTCATAGATGACCAGAACAGACACCCAGACTGGTGAATAAGCATGGGGTGCATTTGTGCAAATGAGCAACCTGCTCGAACTCTGGCTGTCAAGCTGTGTCGTTTCTACTCCAAGAGCCCAGGTCAGGACTTCTAGAAAACAGTCTCCTAAGCATGGCCAGTCACCAAGGACTTACTAAATATCCAGGGATGTGTCAAAAGGACAGAGTGTAGCTGGCCTGATCTTAACCTTGACAAGGCCATGGGACCAGAGCTGGACTCTTACAAGATTCTGGGGAGCTCGGACGTGGAAGTAGGTATCTTGGAGGTCCCAGAAGACTTACCGATGGTGGTAATGACCGTGGCTGCAAAAATCATTGCGTTGGGCCAGTTCCAGTTGTTGAAGGTCTGGTTCCCTGTGATGGCCACACCCTGTCCTGCAGCATCAGATACTATCTAAAAAGAGAGACACAATGAAGGTCAGAGAAGAGGTCAGCACTTTATGAACCTCCTTATAAGCACTCTTATTTACTCATCACAATAACAAAGTGACAGTTACTGTCTCCAGTTTATAGGTGGTGAAACATTTTATAGAGGATCAGAGAGGTTAAGTGATTTGCCCAAGGTCACACAGCTGGTAAGAATATGAACCCTGGCAATCCGGCTCCAAAGTGCCTTCTCTCACTGAGCCAGTGCGTCTCAAACTTACTAGAACCACCTGGAGGACTTCTTAAGTACAGTCTGCTGGGCCCCACCTCCTGAGGTTGATTCAGGAGGTCTGGGAGGGAGTCAGAGAATGTGCATTTCTAACAAGGTTCCAGGTGATGCTGATGTTGTGGTCCTGGGACCACAGTTTGAGAACCGCAGCACTCTTCTGCCTCTGAAAGAAGGCAGATGTGATGCAAACAGGAGGACCTCCGGAAAAGCATTCTACTGCAGGGTTGGCCTGGGAGGGACCGCCCCCCACACCCGACATGCCTTTCACCCCCACTGTAAGGACACCTGCTAAGGTCAGCTCGGTAAGCTCTTGGGTCTGTCCTCCGAGGTCGGACATATCAGCTGGCCTCCTTTCTCCCATGCCTGGGACTCTGTCCTCTCCCCACTGCAAGCTCCCCCTTCCCTCCCTTCTCTGGATCCCTTTCTCTCTGCCCTGGGCTGAGCAACTTCAAGGTTTGGGCCGGGACAGGTCATCAGAAGGTGGTGTGTACTTTTCAGGGTGACAAATTCATGCGACCAGTCCCCACGGAGCTCCCAGCAACTACGGGTGGCAGCAGGTGAGAGGTCACCTGGGGAAGTGCACTGGGAGGCCCCCAGAGAGGCCTTCCTTATCTGTTCCAGGAACACAGGCAGCTGCCAAACCTGCCCACCGCCCAGGCCCTGCCTGTACCCCATCCTCCTGTGCTGCCTCCCTTCACCCACACCCACCACTGGCAGGACCCAGACCTCAGAAGGTGGCTCCCGAGGAGGGGCCAGGATCGACTCTCAATTTGGGGTCCTGCCCCTGCCCCCCAGGAGAGCCCCAGGATGGAGCAGCTCAGAAACCAGAAACTCAGCCAAATTCCCTGTAAAAATCAATCCTAGGACCGAGAAAAGACAGAGGAGTGAAGGATGGAAGCAGGAGGGAGATGGAAAAACCAGAGTTCTCCCTGCGGCACGACTGAAGTTTGGTGAGAAAAGAGGGAAGGGTGGGTTGTCCCGAAGGAATGTGCAGTTTGCAGCGGCAGGCCTGTGTAAACGGATCTGCAGACTTTGTAAGGAATTTTCCATGATGACGTGCTCATCTGACAGGCCGTCAAACCACAGGGCTCACCGCCCTGCCTCCCCCTGCTATTTCCTGAGCACCTCTCTGCAAAGTGGGAAGTGGGGACGGCTGCCTTCACCTGCCCTCAGAGAGCGGCCGCCAAGCCGGCCAGGCCACTTCCACGCAAAAGCACCAGGACGTTCAGATACGAAGAGGCCAACAGGTCTATCCTGTTGGAGGTCCACCCAAAAGGTTTTCTAAACCATGAAATCCACGTTCGAAACAGGAGAATGAAAAGTCCCAGGGCCCTGGATGTTAATGTTAAACAGATGGCAGGGAAAGCAGAACTGCTCAGCTCCCTTTGGCCGCAGCCTTTGTTATCTCAGATATCCATCTTCGGGGGGGCGGGGGCATGGGGGGCGGTTAGTGCAGCATTGTCAGGAAGCACAGCCCAAGACGGATGACAACTGACCAGGAAATCATGGGCCTGGGGCACCACCCCTGGTCATCCCCATGGAATCCCGGAGGAACAGGAAAGATGTCAGAAGACAAGTTGCCCCCCGCCACCCTACCCCCGCCTTCTCATACGAAGAAAACTCAAACCTGAACTCTTGCTGACTCTTCTTTGGAGACAGTGGAACATTTGGCATATATTCAAAGAGGAAGTGGTGGGCACTGGAAGCTACTAGCACAGGTTCACCAGAGCAAGTCATGCTCAGCTAAGTGCATCTCCCACTCCAAAGAGGCTGCAAAGCCTTGAAGTTCAGTGGAATGCAGTCAGTCTGGATAGCAGCAAGGCAACTGAACAGATGGGCTTAAAGATATTCACGTGGACAAGACAGAGAAATGTAGGGAGGAACCGGGGTTAATCCGGGTCCACGGTAAAGGCAGATAAACAACCCCAAGAAGTACTGATCATTATCTGCCTGGCCTGAGGTCTCCATTATCATGCCAAAGGCCAGGCCTCTTCAGTCTTTTAATCTACAACACAGTAAGGACAAAGATGGCTGCCCAGTTTAATCTGCAAAGGATGCAAAACTGGGACAAGACTGGGATGGGAAGATAGCTAACACACTGCAACGGCAGTTTGGGACTCAAAATCACCTGGACTGGAAAAATGGGCCCAAACTAACAAGATATGGCTGTCTTTTAAATTTTTCATGTCTTACATTTTGGGTTAGAAGGCACTGACCCATACAGGGTTGAAGGGGAAAGTCCTTGGGTTTCAGCTGACCACAAACCAACAAACACTGGTATGGCTGCCAAAAGAAAAGTTAATAATCTCAGGCAGTGTCAATACCTTATCTCTTCAGGGCTGGGAGGCAACGAGCCCATTGTCCTCTGCAGGTGAGGCCACATGGGGGCCACTCTGTTCCATTCTTGGGTGTTGGACTTCATGATATGTTAACCAGTGGGCCAAGGTGCCAGAGGGAACGGGGGTGGTTGCTTTGGATAATGAGCTACCTCAGAAGGGATTGCCCTTGGCAGTCATCCATTTCTGATAATGGAAAGTGTTTAGACCCAAGGGAGACCAGCACACATCAGCGATGGTGAAGGTGTGACCGGAACAGGGGTTCTCAACTGGGGTGGTAGCACCCTCTGGAAGTGTTTGGAAATGCTGCCTGAGTATGTGCCTTGTATGTGCCAGGCACTGTTCCGGGCACCAGGGGGAGAGCAGTGAAGGGACGAAATCCCTGTCCTCCCACACATCTACTCTAGTGGATGCTGGGGGTGCTCCTGACATGAGGCGAGCAGGGACCAGAGAGGTGAGATGCCCTGCCACCCACAGGACAGCCTCACACGCCACGTCCATGCTGCCCCCACTGAGATAACACCGGATGGATTGCCAGAGGTGATCTGCGACTTGGGAATCGCTTAGTAAGGGCTAAGGAGACAACAAGCGTAAGAGCTGGCAAAACAGGGTAACCGAAGAGGGCATTATGGTTGGGAGCTTTGCAGTAGAAAAGCTGGCTTCCTGCTCTTCACCCCACCAGTGGTGTGTCCTTTGGGGCACAGCCCTCAGACCCAGCCTCTGCCCTGGGTTATCAGGGAGCCACAGCCCCACACGCTGTCCCCCTGACCTCCATTATCTCTCCATGGTCACCCAGAGGGGGGGCAGACAAAGGGGACATTCTGAAGGGCCCTAAGCCCCCCAGGGCCAGAAGCACCAGTCAACCTTACAACAGGCCAGTGGCGGTAGTTATGTCCACTGGTCAGGTCAGGAGACTGTGGCTGAGAGGTTAACTGGCAGAACTGGGCCAGGTTCTAGACTGTCTCTTGCAAGTCAGCGGGCTCCCCACCTCTCTCCCTTTGCTGCTCTCCCTGTCCCTGGACGCCCCCAGCACCCCTGTAGTTGCCTTCTCTCTGCCCACGGGTCCCAAGCAGCTGGCCTGGGAATCAGCCTGGCTCCATCCCAATGCTGGGGAGACAGGCAGGATTTTAGTGCTGCTGTGCGTCAGACGCCTCTTGTTGGGGCTTTTCTATATATTCCCTAACGGGCTCTTCCTGCGATTCTGCCAGGCATCACTTGACAGAGGAGGAAAGCTAGGCTTGGGGAGCAGAGGTCCGGATGTGAACTTGGGCTGCCTGCTCCCTGCTCCCACCCCGTGTTGCTGTGGTTTCAGTCGGAACACCTCACTGGTTACGGTCAGGGTCCCACTGGCCGGTGGAGAGGTCCCCCAGAAGAGAGGGGTTAGACCCGGGACTGAGGCCATCCCTGGGTGAGGGGGAGCCACTGGACACAGCATCTCATCCCCTGGGGTTAGGGAAACAGCTTTCCCAGGAGGAGACGGCCCCTGTTCACTCACAGGACTCTTTAACTTGGCTTCCAAATTCACACAAGACAGTATCTTCATTTTCCACATATCCCTAGAGAGTGGTGGGCGCGGGGGATGCCGCACGCAGCCCAGGCCCGGCTCTGGCTTGAGGATGGACTAGAGCTCTGCTCCCCGCCTGTCACCCTTATGGTGAAGCGGCTGTGATTTGCTGGGAGGTTACTACGCACCAAATGCGCCCAGCACTTTATGTGCCTTCGGCTCCTCTATAAGGAGGAAAGAATCCTGCTGGGAAGACACCATAATCTTTTCCATTTTGCAAACGAGGATTTCAGGCTGAGAAGTTAAGAAAGTAGCCTAAGGTCGGGATGCTAAAAGCAAGGAAGCCAGGAGTAGAGCCTGCCCCATCTGGGCCCTGGCTGCTGGTACCCCACCCCTGTCCCACATAGGCCACAGGAAGGAGGCCAGTGCATACCTCCACCCCTTCGCACCACCTGGAAAAACAGTGCCCTAAAACCAGCCCATCCACTCAGACCTGAGCCCTCCGGGAGGAGACATTCCCGCCCCTGCCTGTGGCTTCAGGCAACATGCTGCCCCAGACACCACCCTCCCAGAATCTCGCTGTCCATGCAATCTGGGTTCCCCACGGCGCCTCATCCCCCAGGGGTCCAGGGTTTCCTGTGCAGAGGCAGTGCCAGGTCTCCCCATCCTGGAGATTCATTCTGCAGAGTTGCAGGGAGGGCACATCCCGTACCTGGTGCCCACCTGCAGACACAGGCAGCGGGGCTGAGGTCGGGCCTTTGCCTGCATCGGGCCAGTGGGGAAAACAAGTCCAGGTGGCAGCCTGCCTGCGGACAGCAGCTAGGGGCACCCACAGGGCCACCGCCCTGCCTGCCTCCAGCTCCCGCGGCAGACTTCATGCTCAGGTCACAGGGGC